GTCACTTTGCTGCGTCAGGGAGTGGGCAGCTTGCAGTCACTGATTCTGCAAGAAGTTCTACATCATATGGAAGGGTTGGAGATAGCGTGAGACCATCTGTCCAGTAGTTGAAGTTAAGGCCGAACTGGGCTACACACACACACACACACACACACACACACACACACACACACACACACACACACACACACACACACACACACAAAAGATAACACCAAGGAAAGCCTTAAATGAAATAAAATTAATTCAAATATAATTATAAGAGACCTGAACTCATCTAAAGCTCAGATTTAATTCAAATTTAAAGGTTATGTGGAGAATTACACATTGGAACTTTTTGCAACTGAAGGCGTTTTGCATAGAAAAGTGGTCAAAAATGTCATAAAGCCAAAACCTGAGGACCAGTGGACAGGTACACAAAATCCTTTCATGATGTCATTTCTGTTTAACAGAAGCAATACTGGCTCGTAAACCCAAGGCCATATTTGCATTTTCCAAAGAAGACGTTTTTGCTTTTAGCTGTTGCCGGTCTTCAAATAGCATCACATATTTGCCTGTACAGACATTACAAAAATATAGTCAGTTTCCATGGGATATACTCACTTTTTTCAAAACTGTATGTCCGCCCTCTCTTTTCACTTTGCTTATCAAGGTGCACGATGGACACTAAGATGGATGTTGGATATGAATGCAGTAACAGCATAGTCATCACACCGGGCATACAAGAGTAGGAGGAAGGACAATAGAGGTGAGCTATACTCGTGGGGATTCTCAAAGAGGTAAATGAAGAAGAGCTGTGTTACTTTGGTTGAGAGGTCAGTGTTTAGCATGCAAGTGAACACTTTGTGGTAGGACATGGAAAGCCTAACCATATCAGTGCAACTAATGCAAGTCAGCATAAGACAGGGCACCTTGTTACGAGGCGCTGATATAAGATGATAACAGGCACATACTCAGCTTTATGTTCATCAGTGGAAATACAGTGGAAGGTTTGCAACGGTGGAAACCCTGCAATGCCCTCAGTAAGAGTGGTGTGTGTGTGTGTGTGTGTGTGTGTAATCACACGAGTTGTGTCCTAATGAAATTCAGTATCGATCTCAGCAAAATAGACTTTATACATCATTCATGCTCTCTATCAATCACACCCTTCTAAGTTTTCCAAAGCTGTTTGTTTTAGAAGAGTAGAAAGGGGAAAAAAAACAAGCTGAGCAATAATTACTTTGAAGAGATTGTTTTAAAGTCTTTCCTTTAGCCTTTTTCTCAAGGTGTAACAAGCTTATCTGTCAAAGACAATGTCCATTGAATGAACTGCTTCATTTGAAATTGATTGAGGTTCTTTTTGGTTTAGCTGTTTTCTGCTAACTTGAGAAGGAAAACTATGCAAAGATCCAAGTCTAATCAAAGCAAATCAAAATTCTTCACAGAGGGAGAGTATATATCTCTAAAGAGATGAGACGCGAAAAAGAAGTTGTCAGTGAGGAACACCTCTTTCCAACTGTTGAGATAGTGGATATTAGAAAAATCCTATAGGGTGGATACAGACAAAAAGCAAAGAAAATAAACACAGGATGTGGTAACCTGACACAGGAAACCCAGTGAATGCTGGGAGTGAGCAGTGAGCTGTGCTTCCTGTAGGACAGCACAATGGTAAGTGGTGGCCCCAGATTCCTAAAAGAGGTTGTAGTTGCGGGGACAAGGAAGGGCAGCCTGTGTCCTCTGGTCTAGTGCTGATAAGGACATAGATAGAAATGGCATTTATGTCTGTCTTACTGTTTTGGGAAAGCAAAACATCCTGATGTTGCCATGGTTACTGTTTCATTTAATATTAAGAAGCAAATGTGAAACATTCAACTCAAAGTTACGACTCACATCCGAGGAGTTGAAATACCGTTTCGCACCTTTGTTTTTGACAGATTAAAGACTAACACTTTCACCAGGATAGAAAAGTAATATAGGTTACATTAAAGGATTTGCAGACTTGGTCTTCTTCTGACAAAGGTTTAATGTTTGCAGCTTATGAATGCGATCCTTCCCTTGTTGCACCACCTGCCCTTTGAGCAGTAAGGCCAATTCTATTCTTTTAGTTGATGATGTATTTACAGCACTTAGGTATGCATTTAAATGTTGATGCTGTTTTCCCATGATCTTTTGAAATCAATACAATAAAGAGTGAGAAGAAATAAATCCAACATGATGGCTGTCATACTTTTGCAACTGCAGTGTTAGAGGTAAGCATCACCAGCTGAGGACTACTAATCAACACAGGTTAAAAAAGAACTTACACATACACTTATTATATATTTCCAAATGCCAACTAAGGTTGATATGATTTGGAAATAAAAAGATATGGAATTACATTTTGCCCCAATAGTTTTAGAGGCCATTGTGGGGCATTGAATTGTTATGTAAGTTGGCTTCTAGTATAAAAAAGTAGCACAATGAGGTCAGCATGTCTAGCTGTAAATCTGACAGAGTATCAGTGACGGGTCCACCCTTCCTCCTCCTCCCCTGATCCTTGCCCATCGAGCTCTTTCAGTAAAATATTCTCATTCTGTGTCAATGTTGTGTTAATGTTAATAAATGTCTTCATTGGTTCAAAAAAAAGGGGAAAATGTCTGTCTAAATGTTAGAAATACAAGTTTGCAAAAAGAACAAACAAACCCAGACATTTGATCTAATCTTGACAAACCATAATATTAGCTAGCCTGTTAACAGCAATGTTCAACATAAAGGGTCATCTTTGGTCCTTTTCCCTAATTCACAAACAGACACATGTTGGTGTGTATAGCATCCCTGTGTACCTTTTTCATTATAACTCACAAACCAATGGAAAAAAAAAAATGGAGGTGGGATGTCTAGGCTTCTTATCTGCCTGTTTTGTTGTTGGCCCCATAGCGTGAGTGTGTATTCATGGCCAGTTCCTGCAGGCCCTGCCTGTCAAACCAGGCATGCGTGCATGTTAGCTCGCCCAAACCTATCTACGGCATTGTCCATTCAGTATGATTATCATGAACCCACACTGCCTCCTGTCTCCGGGGCTCACATGAACCAGTACTTCCTCCAAGGAAGGAAATGTTCGTTACCCATGGGCCAGTGTCACACGATTACGCTGTACAGACCCAAAAGGCAAGTTTGACTGAAAAAAATGTGCATGTAAACTGATCTTTTCTGCTCTCTCCCTAGATAACGTTGTGTTCCCGCCAAGGAACTGAAATTATTCCAAGTTAAATCACATAATGACTCGTGAGCGCAATCCACTTCAGAAACATATTTTAATCAAAAAAACAAAACGACTTCTCTCTTGATCGCCCCAGCCCATGCATCCCACTCAACCACCAACCCTACATTTTTCTTGAACGCGCACATATTCACTCGTACGTGCACAAACAGTTGGGCAGTGGGACTGCGAGAGAGAGGGAGATCATTTGTCTCAATCTGCACTGATGATAGTTTATCAGAGGCTGGAGGAATGGAGTGGGAGCAGGTGGTGGAAGCAGGCTTTGTGAAGAGACCACAGTAATCAGATCTGCAGCTCAACTCAACAGAGCTGGGGGAGTCCAGCCCAGACCCACCAACCAACCTAACAATTGCAAAGGGTTAACTTCCCCCCACCTGGATCCCTGGCTATCCAATTAGACATTACAAACACTGGGCTAAAAAGCAAGACCCACAGTCACTGTCTTGGACCTTTCAGGAGGTGGAGCTTTCAGCAATCAGCCTCCCTAAATGTAACTGACCAATTAAAAAAGAAATTATGGCACATTATAGTTGTCTATGCTTGTTAAAAAGTTACTTTATGTATCTGTCATTATGCATCCCTACATTTCCCTATTCCTGTTTGCCCTTTAAACTATATGACATTTAATGTATCACCCATTTAACACTGAGTTGGTTCCCTTGCTTCATACTCCCATTGTCTTTCTTTTTCTCTCTGACCCATCCACTTGTGGCCACAATGGATGGTCTTTCTCTCATTCATAGAGTGTAGTGTATAGTAATACTGTGGTGGTTGCTATAGCAACCCGCTAGTCAGACGATCTCATTACTGGCCCTTAGACATTTCTTTCTCGCTCCCTCTCTAAGGAATTACCACTTTTCATTATGATTTCCCTCCCCTCTCTCCCAGCTACCCCTCCTTCTTTATCTCTGTCTCCCCCTGTCTCTCTTATTCTCCCCCTCCCTCAAAGGTCAGATGTCCTCCATGGTGGGGAGAGAGGAAATCTGTAAAAGAGTTGAGGTCTATTCAGTAACCCCCGTCTCCCTCCGATCGCAGCCCACAATCATTCTGTTCCTTTCTATAGCTGCAAAGAAAGCAGCCAGAAAAGAAGGGAGGGAAGAGAGGAGCCTTGAGTCTGCTGGTCTGCTGTTCTTTAGAGCACATTTTAAAATCTGTTTCTTTTTTCTGCCCTTCTCTTTTCTCTCCTCAAAGCTTTCTTTTGTGTGGAAAATAGCTCCTTGAACTGATGGTGGAGTAGTGGTGTGTGTTGACATTTTTTAAAATGCTCCTGCCCACAATCAATAGCCGCTAAAGTCACACATACACTCTGTGCGCACGCACGCACGCACGCTCGGCGCACGCGTATGCTCACGTGCACGTACAGCTGTGCATGCATACTTAAACTGGCTCACACATGCGACATGCGTTCGTTTATGGGAACACGCAGAAACAGTTTGTGTAGGGTTAGTTTCCCGTTTTAGGTGTTGCCCAAGAGCGGGGTCGGGCCATACATCATATTATTGGACATGATTTAAAATGCCTCACTTTTAAACATCAATTATTGGAAAGAATGAGGGTAAGCAAACGATGACGTAAAAGTCTGTAATGCAAACATGCACGTTGTATACTCTGTATAAAAACAGTGAGCAAGGAAGCCAGCTCCCAGTGGAATCTTTTCTCACATTCTCACTGATGAAAGTCTGTTTTTGTTGCAACAAAAATGTCTGTCTTAACCCAGCTTTGATCTTCACTGTATTTCAGGTCTTTCATTCTTCATCTGCTACAAAGGGACAGTGAACAGTGGGCAGATCCATACGCCCTATTGCTCCATCACAGATTGATCCAAATGGAGCTCTATTCAACTGCACTGGCCGCACAATTGATCCCGGCCTCTCTGCTGCGGTAAACATTTTACTCGGCTTGCCTCCATCCTGATCAATAGCCTTCTTTTAATAATGTATCTCATTGATCAGTTTGGTCCCTGAGTAAATTGATCAATTATTTTAATCTTTTTTCCCCCCCTTTTTTTTGCTATGCGGTGTCAAATGAGGGGCAGACAGCTCTGGGTGGTGCTAGTAGTCGCTGGTAGAGTCTATTTAATCAACCTATTCCACATCGGATATAACTCCTAAATGTTCTGTTATTTATGCAGACAGGAAGCATTGTTTAAACGTCTGCTGAATGCTCTCTAAAACACTGTGGTATTTGTGCTTTCTCTGTTACTGCCTCGTCCCTCTGATAGACTTCAAGGGCACTGGTCATCAGCACTGGTAAAGTGAATGCACTCCACCCACAACATCTCATTACTAGTCCTAATTATCCTGACAAGTCACCACCAGCTTGTATGTGTGTGTCTCTGTGTGTGTGCTTGATTTTGCAGACACAAACAAAGCTGTGCGAGCACCAACACATTTATTCCTGGCACAGACACAAACATACATTGAATGCACAGACATTAAACGGTGAAGCAGTGGATCAATAGCCAGCTTGTGTCCCTGACTTCATGGAAGGCAGCAGAAAAGGTATTTGAAATCCAAAGAGTTATCTGAGGCAAGAAAAAACAGGGAGGAGGTAAAGTCTTTGTTAGTATGACCTTGCTGAGATTTATCTTCTGCCGAGATATTTTAAGATTGGCCAGGATAAAACCAAGCATGTAAAAGGACCCCCCCCACCCCCCCCCCCCCCCCAGCTCCTCCAATACAAGAAAGCGACATGTACCTATCTTTTATGCTAACATAAACATATAAATTCCTGACAGATTTTCTTTCATCTGCCCATACTTCCATCAAGATTTGCTGTCTCTGCTTTCCCTCCCACAGGACCGTTGAGTGGACGATTACTGTGCCAATCAGGAGCTGAGCAGGTGTACATGTCGCCATGTTGCCTGCTACCTCATTAAAGTCTCATCTTCATAGCCTTTCACTACCGCCCATCTGAAATGTCACGACATAATCCACAAGACTTTAGACACCCACTACACACCCCTCCCCACAACACGCTAGCCGCACCAAAATGCTCCAATCATCTGTCACAGGTGTACGATGCGCCGCGCTGCTTGCTCGCTCTTCCAGAACACAGGTGTGAATATAAGCAGAGCAGAGCTGAAGCTTTCCTGTGATACGGCTTTTCACGCTATTGTCATGCATCATCCCAGTGGATGCACTCCACTTCTCCAACCATGCTAAATGTTTGACAGCTAATACAAACTAACTAAGATATGTAGCCAAAGTGAGGATTAAAAAAGATGGTTTCAAATGGTTTGCTATGTTTATGCATAAGTACATTGTTTTTGTATTTAAATGCAGACAGGCTAAATTTAAAGCAACATATAATTAATAGAAGGTAGCAGTTTGCAGAGCATGCATGTGGCCAGTTTAAGATTTGTGCGTGCAAACACAAGAGCATCTATGTGCGTGTGTGTTTGTGTGAGTGTTTGTGAGTGTCTTTAGAGAGAGCGCTAATTGTAAAGGATGTGGCAGGTTAAGATAAGGTTATCTTGACGCTGTGAAACGTCTGAGAGAGAAGGCCAAAGCTTGCAGACGGAATTAGATTGATTAGAAGAGCCATATTTGGGCTATTTCCAGATAGCCCTTGGTGAGCCTCATCCCTTTTGCCAGGCATGGCTCTGCTTTCGTCCTCACCCTCACCCCCTACTCTCTTTCCCTGACACTCCTGCTGTGCAGCAGGACAGTTGATAGCGCCACAGGCTGTCAATCAGACGCTAACTGACTGGCCACTGCAGAACTGAGATAGTCCCTTAGACTCCCTCCTTTGACATCCACAGTGAGGGGGGAGGAAAAAAAGCAACAATGTATGCACCACTGCAGGAGAGATGCTTTCTGGGTGAAAAACTGTGTGTCTCTTGATGAGAGTTTAAGGGCTCTCAGCCCTCAGTTCAGGTTAGTAGAGTGTAACTGTGCTACACTGACTTCCATTTTGCCGTCTTTTTCTATTCTCAAGAGCTTGAGGTAAACTGACTCTCTGCGGTTTAAATGGGGAAAAAATTTTCATCTTATAGACTTAATTTAAGATGAGTGTGTGGCAAGGAAGTCAATCCTTCCACCCCCTCCCCCCCCAAAAATAGCACTCAATTCCTGCCATCAGAATCCTCCATTAGCCAAGCATTAGAAACAAATTAACTCTTCTCAGTTGAATGGCTTGTCAGAGGAAGTGTGGGAAAATCCTCTATTAGGCAGGAGTTAAGTGCCTATTGGAAAGCTGGAGACGGAATCCTGCCTAATAAAGGAATAGTCAACCATTGGAACACCGGCTGAATGGAAAAAAGAAGTGCTAATTAAGAGAACAAAGTGTTGTCTTACAGGCTCCCTCCATTAATGTGACTTTTAGGGCTCATCTCATTGGCATCGCTTGATTCCTAAATATGACCAGTTGTGTGCGATTGCACGTGTGTACTCTGTGTAACAAATGGGGGAAAAAAATGTTTATTTCGGGTAGTGGTGACAGTCTGTAAACAGATAAATAATGAATTTTTCACTGCTCCCAGAGGCCACGCTTTTTTAGACTAGTCTCATTTCTGGATTTGACATGTCGTAAGCCATGCAGTGAACACGCTGCTCAGAAACTATTTGGGGCGTTATGTCTCAGATGAGCTGAGCCAACTTAAACCACAGCTCCAGTCTCCTCTGCCTGACAAATGCTGAGCGTTTTCCAATTTTCAAGCTGTGAAAAGTGAGAGGGATGGCGAAACAGCGTCATGGACCGAACCGGGCGGAGACTCAAAATAAACTCAAGTAGGCTTGGCTGAGTATGGGCTCCATCTCTGTTTATCTTAGTGAGAGTGAGCATGGGAGCCCAATGATGAAATCAAAAAAGGGAGGAAAAAATTAAACAGAGTTGAACAGGCCAGTGTATTTGGTTGGGGTTGCCATGGTGACAGAGTGCATGGATGCAGATAAACAGCACGTTGAGTACTCAGGGAGGAATGCAGCCCTTCTGCCTGCGGTTTGGAGTGGAGGTTAACACTTCTCTTTCTCAACAGCTTCACCACTCAACAACATATGGGGCTGAGGGGGGAGCATGAGAGGAGATTACACTTTAATTGCACACATACTTGGATAAAAGCGAATGTGTAGGAATATTTGGAAAAATGCTGAGAAAAAAAAGGGAGCGATGCATAATGGTTGATTGCATATTATGGCACAGGGTGTTTCAGTGTTTTCACTTAAAAATTGGAGTCAGTGCTAAAATTTGGAGTGGAAAACTACAGAATAGAGGTTTCCTGCTTTTCTGCAGTTGTCACACAGAAGTCTTCTTCATGGCCTTCTCCAGAAGAGCAGATTGCCTTTTTTGAACAACCTGTGAAGTAAGCAAAGTAACTTATCATCACTCCTTAAGGGGAAAGAAGGCTACCTCTCAGTTCTTCGTTTAGATTAAAAGTTATGGATGTTGGGAAGGAACTACAAGAATGAGGGGAATGGTGGCAAGTACTCTTAAGGGAATGGGAGAAAGAGGGAGGTGCTAAAGAGAAGCCAATTTGATGAAAAATTGGTGGCTGTGGCCTGCTGATAAGAGGCCCTCCTTCTCAGCTCCCTCTGACAAAATGGGAGAGCCTTGTCTGTCGCCCCATTAGCAGCCATCCCTACAAGGCCCTGCCTTTTCTACATGGCCAGCCTTCAATAGGGGGCAGAAATGGAAAATGGCTACTTAACCAATGATTACCAGACTGAAAGGTACCTGTCATTCGAGTGAAGCGGCCGGAAGAATAGAAGGGACGTGTGGGAGGATAGGAGTGAGCGATTTCGCTCCTGTCTCTGCAGTGCGACAAACGTGTTATTGTGAGATTAAACCCGGGGTTTGTGTTTAATAAAGCCATGCAGAGGGGGAGGTAACGGGTGGAATTTGAGAGAAAGCTGGACCGGGGTTAGGCGGTGGAAGAACTTAAAGCTCTGAACAGAGTAAAGAATGAGAGGAAACTCAGCTGCTCGACTTTTTGAACTTTGTCGTCTTTTCCAGTAGTTAGATTGAGTTTGTATCATTTTATCCAGAGGTAGCTGAGAAGTCCACAAATCATCCCAGAGAATAGAAACACCTTGCTCACCTGCTTTCCCTCCCAATCAGAAGAACATTTTCCTGCTATTACAGTTAATCAGGGCCCTGCTTGATCACTGCAGCGCTTCCACCGCTAGTTTCTTTTCCAGCATTATGGCAGCTTTTATTCTCCTCTGTAATTGCTTGTCCCTCTGGCTCTTTGTTTCCACGAGTCGCTCTTATCACCTCACTATGCTGCCTATTCACCACTGTCACACAAACCATAACACTTCTGCCCAGATCTTTCAAGGGGTGCCTTGAGCCACTGCATTTTAATGTTCCCCATAGGCCAGGCCCACAGTGCCATATGAGTTGTTTTATGGAAGCTATTATTAGTGTTTACTCACTGGCACTTACAGGGTCAACAAGCATCCTGTGTCTCTCCCTGTGCAGTGAGGCAACCCTGACTTCTTGTTTTAATGTTATGGGTAACGTTATGACTCTGTCTCTTTGCTCAATCGTTAACTCTGTGACCACTTTATGAGGTATTAATTGAGTAGTAATTTTGACTCAATGAAACCATGTAAGAGTTTAATGCTGTTTTAACTCTCAATCTAATTGAAAACAGGCACTAAGGGCTCATGCTTACTGCCCAATATGATGTGGATAGGTTTTTTGTAAAAGGTTTGAGCTCTTACTTATGTTTCACACACTGTATTTCACATGCAAAACAATACAATCGAATAAAGGCTTTATAAGCAAATGCATATGCCTGCATACACTGCAAACACACTGCTGCTTGACTTTAACATAAAACATACATACAAATATTTAAGACACAGGTGCACACATGCATGCACGCACACAAGGGAGAGACAAGTTTAGATGGGGCTCTGGACTGATCCTATTACCTCATCTCACATTTATTTCAGAGGCCTGAAACCTGATATGCACGCAATTGTTATTTTAAATCACCGTCTGGGAAAGCTGGACCAAAGGTCTACAGAGTCACAGAGACAAGGAGAGTTTAAACGAGGGCGGACCAGAGATGGAATAGGCCACAGGGCCACGAGGTGCGTCACAACCTGACAAGATTAGGAGTGCAGTTTTATTTAATCAAATAAAAATGTCTTAAATACAAAAACACTAAACAAAACAAAGGGGTAAGTTTAAATTCTTTTAAACTGCTTTCACACGTGCACTACAACCCTACCTTTTCTCAACACTGCCCAGCTGAGCTATGTGTGAGAAAGCAAATCTCCAAGAATGAGAGCAGGTAATTGTCCACTGAATCCACCGCTAAATAAGTGAATGTCTTATTTCCCGTTCTCTGCACACTCTACCCAAACAGCACCCTCATTCAAAACAAAAATGAGCATTTCCTGTCTCAAGAATACATCTGAAGTGGACTATTTCCTGTTGCGTGCCGCATTTGAGAAAGGGC